GGGTGTAAATGGTATGGTAACCCCGCCTGCGCTAACGGGATACGCTGGCGGAGCACCAGTGAAGGGTGATAGATGAGAATGAAAACAGGCCAGTTAGCCCATCATGATGAATTCATCAGGAATTAACCATGATAGTTTCCAGGGGGAACCGCGAGGAGGTCGACCTGGTTGGGTATATTGCCAGCAATGAGGTTCTCAGTCTCCATTACTAACAATCCCTTTCTCCCCATCACTATTAAATTTGGTGTACTGGTATTATATGGGATGGAGAAGACCATAGACTACTCTTTATCTAGGTCAGTGAAAATATCCCGGTTACGCGGACGAAGTTGTAGGTACAAGTTAGTGCTAAATAATGGATCGTTATTCGATCATAGGATTCTGGTTTTAGTAAATTTCGATTTCGGTTCGAGTCCATTGAAAAAATCGATCACATTAAGGATTAATCACTTCTTAAATCTGAAATCTGATAAATCGAATACCTGATATTAGAAACACAAAGTAAGTCACGTATTTTTTTGTAGGTGTTTTTGATAAAAAATATGCAAAATATAATTTGCATTATTGTGTTGCTTTTTTGTTTATGTCACTATATGAAGGTAACAGGTGAGGCTTTATATTAGCCTGGAAACTCAGATCATTATCGAGGTGACAGGCGGCTCATATGATGAAATTAAGGTTAATGATCTTCTATGAAGTTTTATGTGATTCCGGGATTGTCTGTCGGGCCAATTTTGTAAACAGACTTTCGTAAATTGACCCGTGTTTGTAATAATATATTATATGTTTATCTCCTGATATATATTTATGAATTTTCAAATAATATGATTCATTATTAAAGTGACCTTAATGAAGGTAATTTCGAACGTATTTTAGTCTTCAAAAAGTCAAGGTGCTCAGTGCTTGTCATGTTTTCTGTTACAGATTTTTGATTATATTGAAAATAACACAGTAAAACAAGATCAAACAGAAGATTGGAAATTACTAGAAGTTAGTAGGATGAGTGTTTTAAGTTCGAAGTAAGTAAACATTAGAATACTATGTGCCTTTTCTCATTCCCGATTTTAATTAATTCTAATAAGTTTATTTAAAAAACGAGGGATTTCTCAATTGGCCTAAAATTTTTGTATGTATTGCACAATATCTTCGCCAATTTTGAATTGATTTTGTACAGTTTATTCCTGTAAAAGCTATAGATTATTACAGCAATACTAAACTGAATATCCATTTCAGTCCAAAGGGTATTGATTTCATATTTTTGTTTTCTTTTTAAAGAGAAAAAGCCTGTTTTCTGCTGTTACTCGAGTTGCGTGTGGAAGTGTCGAATTTAGTTATTAAACTGTTTCTGTTGTAAGTAAAGATGCAGGAATTCGGTCGAAAGCTAGTGCATGCAACGATTGATTAGTATACCGATCAAAGTAAATCTTATCATAAAGTTTTAAAGATTACACTGATTGGTCCTTAAACGAACTGTATTCACTATTTTTACATTTAGATTCGTTGACAGCTCGCTGTTTTGATAATACTTATAATAATAAACATGTATCTAATATTAATCTATGATAAATATATACACAAAGAGAGTCACGTATATTTTTGGGTGCTTTTGATAAACGATAGACAAAATAGTCTAAGATTATAAGCAGAATTCCGAAATATAATAACGGTATATAATTAATTATATAGATTTTTTATAAAATCCTATACAAAATACTATAATCTAGTTATATTAAATAAAAATGAAACGATTTCATTTGTAAGTTACTTTGAATGTATTTGAGAAAATTTGGATTGATAAGGCTTTTTTTGCTGGATCTGTATTGATATATTCATAACTAATGATAGAATTAAACTATTTGATGGATTCTTTTTTTTTGTTTTTGTTAAGTTTTTATATTAGTAATGTCAAAGTGCAGAAAGATGGTAGGTGTGGTACGTTTTACAATTACAACGAATAGAAGTTTAGAATAAAATTAAAGGAACAAATTTCTGAATATTTTACGCATGAAAAATTTTCTTTAAATTTCCTTCTATATCTATTTACTTTAAGTATTTATGTAGAAAACAAAAGAGGAATTGGAAACAAGGAAGTTTACGTATTCATATTGTATATCTGTCTTGTATTTAAATTAATTTAATAATCAACTAGATAGATAAATATATATTTGGCTAGAAACAACTTTATTTACGGAAAGGTTTTGCTGGAAGAAATCTCTTATTAGAGATAAGCTCGCCTTTGTACATTATGTTTATAATGAATTGTAATTGACAGTATGTTTTGTGTACAATAAAGAATAAAGAAAGAAAGAATTACTTATAGGTATGGTCTTACATTTCTCCCTTCCTCTAATTGCAGAGGGAGAGGGAGAATTTGCAAGACAGTTACGAGAGATTATTTATATTAATAAATTAGGACACCCGAATATAGGGTTACGCATTTAAAATATTTTTAAAAATCACTTTGAAAACCATTTTCGATGCTGTAGTGACAGGAAAGCTAGCGAGTGTATGTAACATGGGGTCAGGATATCTATAGTTGAGGTGCAGTGCCATCTATCGATTCACCCGGTACGGTGACGGTGAACGAGTGCATTCCATACTAATGAGACGGGTACGAGCTCTTCATTATTCCAGACAACTCCTAAGTGGCTAAGTGCGACTTACATACATTTGGCATTTTTTACAAAACTTTTATTTTACTTGATTTTATATTCACTTATCAATAGTATAAGTCCCTTATGTATTACATTAACCGTTATGTTTATGTGTAAATATGTAATGGTACGTAATTTTGTTTGTTTGTGTGTATATATGTATGAAATTTATAAATGTATATGTGTATGAGATACACTATGTATATGTCTACATTAATTATATAGCTGAATTTTGTTAATTATGTAATAAGATTTGTACGCAGAAGAGGTCATGACATAGAGAATCCTAGTGTGAAGTTTTCGAATAAAATATATAATTGTTACATGTCTTTTTTGTTCCAATAATAATTATTATTAATATGTAAGTATATCCGTTCAAAAGCATTAAATTTTTTAACAATTTGCTTGCGTCTTATTGTGCTGAAATTTGGCATACTTATGTATGTTCTTCAGGATTTCTTCAGAGTCGGCAACACGCGCGTAATGCCCCTGGTATTGCAAGCGTTCATAGGCTACAGTAATCATATACCATTAGGTGGGCCGTATGCTTGTTTGCCACCTCAGTAGTATAAATAAAGTCCGTTGATCATATAATATTATTCTGACCAGATGATGAAGAATGAAGTTGACCATGTGAACTGCTAAACTATGCATGATAAATTTGTTATGTTTGGACAGTTTGGACCCGTCAGTGAACGGCTGATGTGATGATGATGATATTCTTTTCCTTCCCAAATAGATACAATATATATATATGTAAATATATAAAATTTTACAACAATTGACTGAGTAGACAGAGCCAAACATATCTACTTTCACATTTATAATGTTAGTAAGGATTTAGAGTTGCAATATTATTGCAACTCTTTGAAAAGGTAAAAAAAAAGTAATGATAAATGTACTGTAACGCTTATTAATTCGGCGAACACTTCATGTCGCGTTCGTGCTTTGTGTACAAGTCATAATCATGCATACTTATCTCTCAAACGATTGCTTAAATAATCATGACATGTGTGTAATCGTCACTACCTACAGTTCTCGTAAGAATTTAAGATTTTGTTTTTATTATAAAAACACTTATATTCATCCACAGTTTGTTACAATAAATGCACGTATATGATACATTTCGGTTTTCCAGGTATTTCCAACTGACTTCAAAAATAAAAAGATTCTAATTCGATTGTATTTTTACATGTTTGTTACCTAATAACTCTTGTAGTTGTAAATCGATTTGGAAAATTCTTTGTTTACCTTAAAGGATATATTTACAAATTAGCCTGATAGAAATTTAGTCAAATTTTGTTTTGTATTTAAGTTTTATATTAAAATAACTTACCAGAGGGAGACTTTGTACAAAAGTCGATTGCTTGGGTACCTCTGTCCCATTCATGATTCTACGGTGAAGCAGTTGTGTTTGCATGGCTGTGTTTCGGTTTGAAGGATGGGATATGGCGTGAATTTACAGGGTACAGAGGAATAACACCTGAGTCCTCAGGAATGGCAACGCATAGGGGATATCATGGGCGAAACAGTATACTCTGTTATGTCCATGGTACTGCTCATGTCTATAGGCAACGGTTACCACTTTCCATCAGGTGGGCCGTCAGCTTGTTTGCCATTCTAAGTTGTATATAAAAAAATGACATAATTGATGTAGATTTTTTCATGGTAATTATTAGAAGCTTTTGTACTATCAGTGTATTTAAAGTAGGTGACAACTATCAAGACTCAACGTAATTTCAGATTTTAATCCACAAAATAATAAAAAAATCAATTGTGACAATATTAGCAATGCATACAGAAGTAAGTATTACTGTTATTTGTATCAACGCAAAACAATTATGAATAAAAATTTTAACTCTTAGGTTAGATTACGTAAATGAAATAAGGTATTTATTGAATAAAAATGGATTTATCTCCAGGAAGAAATCACTAACCAATCAGGTATATTTATATTCATCATCAGTATGTCAGCCGTTAGTTGTCCACTCTTGAACTTAGATTTCCCCCATAAAGGGGGTTTTGCTAGCAGTTGAAACACTTATACATCCCAGAGGAGATCAATTGGAGCTCGACCTGACACTGTATATAGCTAGCATTCCTAGAAAGCTAGCAAGGCTTCTCCCATGATATCGTAGGTTAAAACTATATTTTTTTTATATTTCTATTCAAGATTTTATTGAATTCAGTCATTAATATATAAATAAATAACTTGAAATGATCTTGGCCAAGCGTTTGTAGATGGAGACTCTATCATTATTAATTATCGTAGGTACTTATAGATATTGTCTGCATTCAAGGTTAATGAACCTAATAATAAGACTAATCTTTAAAAAATAGACTCACCTATGTGTCCTGTGTGCTGGAAGTTCGTAGGTGCACCGATCATCGATCTGTCTATTCTCCGCCGGGTGCGCTGCGCCTGCGCCGCCGGCTGGTAACAACACGCGAACCACTGCAGCCAAATTTCACTGCCGGTGCTTGCCATTTTGTATAAATTTAAATAAATGTCCACTCCGCACACGTGACCAGCGTTTGTGACACTTCGCGAAACGCGTTGTGACGATTCAACTGTTTTTTTTTTTTAATTCACAATTTTCTTTTCTGATGACACGGCTACCAGTATTCTTCGGCAATTAGTCACATATATCAAAATATTCTTCAAGACGTATTTAGCGTTCTTTCTAATATTCGATGCTGAGAGATCGGTAGCTCAATTTCAAATAACGTCGTAAGCACTCGTCCTAGATCTTTCTTTTCTTGATAACGATGATATCATGATTCCACTGATAAGATCTGTAAAAAGAGAAACAATAGTGTTATATACTGTAAGAATAAGTGTAAATTAGTTTGTTTAGAACCATTAAGGCCTTACTAACGGACTTAATCATCGATGTTCACGCTCATTATAACAATTGTTTCACAAACAAAAGTGGTTGTTTAGTCGATTATTTAAAGTATAATGAACCGTAAATGTATTTACTATTCCATAAAGCTAATAGGTACATAATTTAGTTGAATGCATTCTAATGACTAGGTAAACAAATTTTTATATTTATATAAAATATAATGGGGAAATTGTTGATGCTGATAAACTGTGAATATTGAAATATGATATTTCAAAGCGTTGCACATTTGACCCGAATGCGAGTTAATAAAATGTTAAATTCAGCAAAGAGAAAGGTCTCATGTTTAAAATCTATTATAGCGACGCATATAATAAAATAATATATAAAATACAATAAAATTGTAAGCGATCCGTGTTTCGTAAATTGAATATATTAGTTATATAAACAATAATCATATTACATTTAACACATTTTCTTGCTTGTGCCGCATTCGAGCTTACTTTGTGTGACAATGTCTAAGGGGGTACCTAAATGGAAATACATAATGGAAATCGACAAAATTTTTAATTCAACATTTCTACTATATGATATTTACTATCATCTCTAACGTATTATATCATTAACCCATTATCGTCGCTTTTTTAGAGGGTCTTATCACGAAAAGTTAGCGCAGTATGGTTTTATTTTGATTTTGATTTTTTTTTCTTTTGCATTATTATATAATGCTTGTATTTTTTGTGCTTATAGAGAGAATGGTTGAGAGATGAGTAGCAGCAGTACCTCTTAAAATGTCACCAAAGCCTGACTGCGGTTGCTAACCCGCCTGCCAAGCGTGGCAATTACTGGCAAAACTGTGGGCAATTAAGCTGATACGAGTATGATGATTGTTTGTGCGTAAAAACCAACTAGGAGGTTTTTTACACAATTGTCCAAAAAAGGAGTGTATTAAATATTTTTAGGATTCATATGTTTGTTTTTTATTCTGTCAAGATTTCTAAATTCCTTAACAGACTTATATATTTAACAGACATATTAATTAATTAAATCTGTCGCATGTCCGATTCATGGAGTATCGTTAAAAATCATACGACATTTTGAGTGATACTTGTTATATACTTTTTTTTTAATAGATAGTATTTTGTCAAGTTAGTCAAGTACATTTTGTTTCACAGTCCTCAGGAAAAATTGATTGATGGCATATAATGTTCTGACTGTTATATGGAAAGGAATTGATAAAAAAAATCTAGGCGATAGATAAACAAGCACTCTAGTTCTTTAGAGAACAGGGTTAATGATTTTTTTGCTATTTTACGTAAATGTAAGGCAAAATTTCATAAAAGATTAATGACAATAAGTAATCCTACTGTTAAGACAGTATTTAAATTGGTATTTTATTAATTAACGTAATTTAGTAGTTATGTAATTTTAAAAATATAATAATAGTTTGTACGTATAATATAATAATGTAAAAATTATAATTAATTAATTTATTAAGTAAATTATAATCGCAATGACTGTAAAGTATGGTCATATACCTGAAAATAAAAGATGTATTATTATTTAGACAAGTATACGTTATCGCTACTTGCATGAGATGGAACGAGAGAATATCCGGCATCTAGATATCTTAAAGTCAGTTTAACAAGTAATGAGCTATCAATGTTATTATATAAAAAACAAAATATATACAGTTGATATTTATTCATATACTAGATTGAGTTACTTGCGGCATTTGGTTACTTAATAGTCTTGCGGTATCTGTGACCACTACATAAACAAAATGCTTGTACACGAATTGTATGTGTAGGTATGTACTTCTTCTAACGGTCATATTTGAGTCATAGAGAAGAGATGAGGTCAGCACGAAAGAGGAGCAAGACATGCCCATATTGTATGCAGTAGTAAGTACTATTATTTAGACTGCACTAACATAATGAACATGAAAGAGTGTTGTCTCTGGGGTCTTTTTTTAATGGATGATAATGGAATGGTAACCCCGTCTGCGCTAACGGTATAGCTGGCAGGGCACCAGTGAGCGATGATAGGTGAGAATGAAAAGGCCGATCAGTTAGTCCATCGGGAATCCCATTGCTAGCAATATACCCAACCAGGTCAACCTCCTAGCGGTTAACCCTGGAAACTATCATGGTTAATTCCTGATGAATTCATCATGATGGGCTAACTGGCCTGTTTTCATTCTCATCTATCACCCTTCACTGGTGCTCCGTCAGCGTATCCCGTTAGCGCAGGCGGAGTCACCATACCATTTTCACCCATCAAAAAAAATACACCTGGAATTCAGCACGATGGTTTCCAGAGGGAAAAGACCTAGCAATGGGACTGGTAGTCTGTATGACTAACAATCCCTTCTCCCCCTGTCACTATGGTCTTAAAGACTCGACCGATTGTAATGAAATTTGGGATAAACATAAGTTAATTTTTCTTCAGGTCAATCAATGAGTATTTCTCTGTCTGGCAAACGAAGCCACATAGTTTAGTTAGTACCTAAGCTAGTACTTTAAAGTGTATACCTGTAGTTAGAACAGGAATATAATTATTTATATTTGTAAGTGTAGAGTGAGAGCAATACAACTGTATTGAACCAGGGGGAAAGGGATTGTTAGCAATGGAGTTTGACAGCCCCATTGCTAGCAATATGCCTTATAAGGTCGACCTCCACGTGGTTCCCCCTGGAAACCATCGTGAACAATTCTTGTTGAATTCGTCACGATGGGCTAACTGGCCTACTTCATCCTCACCTATCATCTTTCACTGGTGCCCCGCCGGTGTATACCGATAGCGCGGGTGGTGAATACCATTCCATTATCACCCATTAAAAAAAACTGTATTGAATCACAATCAAACATAAACTTTAATAATTAAGCAAGGCCATTATATTACGTCTATAATTTGTATGTGGATACATACAACATAAACATATTTTTTGCGTAACACTGTGGAGTACTTGAGTACTAACTAATAGGTATGATACGCATATTATATATGTATAATTAAATTATATCTAGGTAACTACATGTTTATCAAAGATGGAACACTTATTTTTCAATAAAATAAATAGTAACAGCTGTAGATGCATGCTTTGTTGTGAACATTATATGAATCGAGGGTACAGACTAGGTGATAAAGAAAAATGACTAAGTATACTTATGAATACATGATCATTTAGGTATAATCATTTATTGTTATTTTATATAGAGATCTACACAAAACTGTCGTTCGTTTATTATTGCACAATGGGAATTATGAATAAACTGACAAGTCTTCATACTTACAAAACTAAGACATGGTAATATATAGCAATAGGGGGGAAAGGGATTGTTAGTAATGGAGTTTGACAGCCCCATTGTTAGCAATATGCCTTATTAGGTCGACCTCCACGTGGTTCCCCCTGGAAACCATCGTGAACAATTCTTGTTGAATTTGTCACGATGGGCTAATTGACCTACTTCATCTACACCTATCATCCTTCACTGGTGCCTCGCCGGTGTATACCGATAGCGCGGGTGGGTTACCATTCCATTATCATCCATTAAAAAAAAAAATATATATATATATATATATAGCAATATCTTAATATTGTAGTTCCAATATTTAAACATATATTGATTTAATATTATATCTATAAAAATATTGATCTAACAGATATATTAGATATCAATTATACAATATACAATAACGAAAAAAAAAAAAACCCGCTCGTAATGAATATAGATATCCGACCGGTATGGGCGATATCGCAATGGGTGGTCATCAACATTTAAAAGAACTCAATATATAGATATCATATAAACATATTTTAAATAAATCATGTGAAATATTAAAAAAAATATTTTGAAAAATAACAGATAATGAAGATGTTATCAAATTTACTTAATACTAGTTCCCTGTCTCTGATTCGCACGACCATTTATTAATGAAGAAAATAAGACCAAATTTTTCTTTTTTCTGAACCAATGTTTAAGGAATGGGTAGCAGTGTTCCTCTTAAAATGTTATTAAAACTTAACTGCAGTTGCCAAACCGCTTGCAAAGTGTGATAATTACTGGCAAAACCCCCCAAAGGGCAGGCTTATGTTAAGTAGTTGACAGTTAACGGCTTATTTACTATAATATCATATCATTAGTATAAATTAAATCAGGACTTGCTTTACTTAAATTTAGTCCATACTTAAAAAAATCACTATGCTCCATACTACCTGCTTATTACCTTACTCCTGCTTATTGTCTTGGAAAATAGGAAAAAAATACGTAGATATATTTCAATATTTACAAATATAAGTAGGTATTTAGAGTAACCCCATATCTTTTGTTGATATAATCAATAGTATTATCATTTGACAAGTGGCAATACATCTATAGAGATATCACGTTGATAAACTTGATGATCATGAAAATGGCTAGTGGCCTCAAGCAATAGTTTAAGATTGGTCTCATTGCCAGCGAGTAAGCGATTGAGTTGCGTACCTATAGCAAATTAAATGTTTTAGATATTTTTGTAAAAAGATTTAAGAAAACCTTTTGAACATGAAAACTGAAGCTCTATATGGAAATATAATTTTATAGTTTACAGGAATTGGTGTGATATATGCTATTGGCATTGTGTACATAAAAATTTTCGAAATGGCTTTTACCCGGAAATTCGTCAGCGCGATCCGGATATGTTGATTGACCGAAATAAATAGTAGCTTATGCTTTTCTTCACCCCTGATAATAGGTGTATACCAAATCTTATAATCGTTCGCTGAGCTATTAAGATGCCAACAACTAAAAAAATCATTTTCACATTTTTAATTTCTAATTACGTATAAGTTTATTTTTGTATTTCCTTTTTTTTTATTTTAGAAATATTTTAGTTGTAATTGTTATTGATATGCACCAAATAAATATTTTTCTTTCTTTCTTAATATCAGTACGAATAAGGTAATGA